GTGCATATATACATATATATCATATATATACATATATACTGTATGCATAGATTTGTATGTAGACATCTATAAGTATGTACTCTGTATGTAGTGATATAAATATACATATACAGTATACTGTAGTATAGTATATACTCTGTGTGTGCATATATACATATATAACAGAGTATATACTATACTACAGTATATTCGGAGCACTTCCGTTTGAAAAAAATAAAATAGAAAACAACACAAATGCCCACCAAAGGATGATTAGGAAAATAAATTATGGTATTTTCATACAACTGAACACTTTGTAGTCTAGCTTATTATTTATAAGCTTATTATTACAATAAGAAGATAGCTTATTGTTTACTGATACAGAACCAAATCCAAGACACATTGTAAAAGAAAATAAGAAAGGTACAGAACGGTGTGTGTAGTAGGCCACTATATAAGAGGTTTTCCCCGAGAAGACATGTCTGTGCTTCTATTTGCATAGAGCATTTCTAGAGAATTTTAAATGTTGCATAGCACCTGGAGATTAAGGTAGAAAACAAACATTATTTAATTTGAATCTTTTAAGTTCTTTAACTTATGATTACACTTACGGAGTAGGACCATTTAATTTTTTAAGGATTTCGTCATCAAATATTTGTAAAAGCGGACTAGCCGTAAGAATTTCAGTTACTCTCGGAATCCACAGCAAAAGAAACCATCCCAGACAAGAGCAAATGCAGGAAAATAAAGCCCAGGGAGGGTATCTCAAAGATAGGGTTTTAGAGTTTCCATAAACACAAAAGCTCAATTGGGGATGGTGAACATGGTGCAAACTCTGGTCTTAAGACGGTGCCTCTTCCCTGGTAATATGCTACCTGCCGAGTATAAATGGACCAGGGTTTCAGATATGGATCTGACAGATCTCTAGTAATGGGAAGTGGGAGGCACCATACGTCACAGAAGGTTGAGTTTTGTTATTGTTATTTTTGATGATGTTGTATTTGATTGTAGCAGAAGAGGAAGACAGGCTTTGATGCGTAATATAGACTCCTTCTACTCATAAATCCTGCAGATATTAGCAGGGACATTGCTAGAATGATAACAAAAATGGAAATGATCATGAGATAATGACAGCTATAATAATGACCCATCATTTGGGGAGCACTAAGTAAGTACAGGGCACTGGGCTAAAAGCTTTGCACATGCTATCTTTTCTCACAGCAATCATAGGTAGTAGGTGCTTTGAGTGAGGTATTGATGAGGGGACTGAGCCTCATGGGCATACTGTAACTAACCCAAACCCATACCACTTGTGAGCAGCACAGTAAGACTCAAACCTAATCTACCTACCTTCAAAATCTTTAATCACAAAATTTTTAGCAGCTTTATAGTGATAGTATTGAAATATGGCTATTATTAATAATGAATTAATTACATTAATTATGAATGCAATGTAATATTCTATAAAATGCTAGCAAGCTAAATTCAGAAGCACATGGAAAGGATCATATATAATGGCCAAGAGGGATTAACTCCTGAGATGCAAGGATCATTCAACATATGCCAATTAATCAATGTGATATATGACATTATTAGAATGAAGAATAATAACCACGTGATCATCTGCATAGGTGCGGAAAAGGCATTTTACAAAATTCAACGTATTTTTATGATAAAGACTCTCAACAAAATAGGTATACAACTTTACCTCAAGACTATCTATGTAAAATCCAGAGCTAACATCATAATCAATAGGTCTTGGGATCAAAGCTAGAGACGTCACACTCCCTGACTTCAAAATGATAATACAAATCTATATACTAAAAACAGTATGGTCAAATTAAAAAGCTTCTGCACAGCCAAAGAAACTGTCAAGAGAGCAAACACACAACCCACAGAATGGGAGAAAATTTTCTCAAGCTACCCGACCAATAAAGGGCTGATAACTAGAATCTATTTAGAACTCAGGAAAATCAGCAAGAAAAAAGAAATTGCAAGAAAACAACCTATCAAAAAATGGGCAAGAGACATGAACAGAAACTCTCAAAAGAAGACTGAATAATGCGCAAATATTATGAAAAAAATGCTCAACATCCCTAATCATCAGGGAAATGCAAATCAAAACCACAATGAGATATCACTTAACTCCAGTGAGAATGGCCTTTATCAAAAAGTCCACAAACAACAAATGCTGTTGTGGATGCGGAGAGAGAGGAACACTCCGTACACTGCTGGTGGGACTGCAAACTAGTAACCTCTGTGGAAAGCAATTGGAGATACCTTAAAGCCATACAAGTGGTCTACATTTGATCCAGCAATCTACTACTGGGCATCTACCCAAAAGATCAAATGCCACTCTACAAAAAAGACACCTGCACTCGAATGTTTATAGCAGCACAATTCACAATTGCAAAGTTGTGGAAACAACCCAAGTGCCATCAAATCATAGTGGATTAATAAAATGTGTATATGCTATACCTGGAGTACTATCGCTTTAAGAAACAAGGTGATATAGCACCTCTGTATTTTCCTGGATAGAGCTGGAAACCCATTCTACTAAGTGAAGTATCTCAAGAATGGAAAAACAAGCACCACATGTGCTCACCAGCAAACTGGTATTAACGGATCAACACCTAAGTGGACATACAGGAATAACATTTATCGAGTGTCAGGCAGGTGGGATGGGGGGAGGAGGAGTGGGTATATACAAATATAATGAGTGAGATGTGCAACATTTGGGAGATGGTCACACTTGAAGCTCTGACTCGATGGGGGAGGGGGGAGCATGGGCAATATACGTAACCTTAACATTTGTACCCCCAAAATATGCTGAAATAAAAAAAAATTTTTTAAAACAGTATGGTAATGACATCAAACAGACATATAGATTAATGGGACAGAATAAAGAACCCAGAAATAAATACATATGTTTACAGTTAACTGAACTTCAACAAAGGTATCAAGAACACACAAAGGGGAAATGATCATCTCTTCAACAAATGGTGTTTGAAAAACTGGGTATCCACATGCAAAAAAATGAATAAATAAATTGGACTACTATATCACACCATACATAAAAATCAACTCAAAATGGTTTAAAGACATAAACATAAAAATTGAAACTGTGACGCTACTAACACAAAACATAGGGAAAAACGTTCTTGACATTGGTCTTGGCAATAAATTTTTGGAAATGATACCAAAAGCCCAGATGCCAAAAGCAAAAATAGACAACTGAGATTACATCAAACTAAAAAGCTTGGAAAAGGCAACTATGGATGGGAGAAAATATTGGAAACCATATATCTGATAAGGGATTAATGTGAAAAATAGATAAAGAACTCACATAATTCAACACTAAATATACAAATAACTCAATTAAAAATGAACAAAGGACCTAAGTAGACATGTCTCAAAGAAAAGAAATTCAGATGGCCAGCAGCCATATGAAAAGCTTCTCAACATCTCTAATCAGAGAAATGCAATTCAAAACCACAATGAAATATCACCTTACACCTCTTAGGATGGCAATAATTAAAAAGAAAAGAGACAAAAGTGTTGCCAAGGGTGTAAAGAAAAGAGAACTCTTGTACACTGTGGATATAAATATAAGTTAGAACAGATTTGATCTCCTTGCTCAAGCTTGCTTTGGCTATTCCTGTTTTTTTTTTTTTGTGGTTCCATACGAATTTTAGAATTGTTTCTTCTATTTCTTTATAAATACCATTAGGATTTTGATAGGGAATTATTGAACCTATAGATTGCTTTGGGTAGTACAGACATTTTGACAATATTAATTTTTTCAATCCATGAACATGGGATGTCTTTCCATTTATTTGGTTTTTTTATTTCCTTCATCAATATTTTATAATTTTCAATGTACAGGTCTTTCTTCTCTTAATTCCTAAGGCATTTCTTATAATTGGTAATGTAAATGGGATTCTTTTCTTAATTTCCGTTTTGAAGAGTTTGTTGTTGGTGTCTGTAGATGCACACAGATATTTGTGTGTTGATTTTGTATCTTGCAATTTTATAATTATTTATTAGTTCTAAGAGTTTTTTGTTTGGTTTAGTCTATAGTGTTTTCTCTGTATGTCATGCACCTGCAAACAGACAAATTTACTTCTTCCCTTCTCATTTGAATGCCTTTTATTTCTTTTTCTTGCCTGATTTCTCTGGCCAGGACTTCAGTACCATGTTGAATAGCAATGGTGAGAGTGAAAATTTTTGCCTTCCTCCAGATCCTAGAGGAAAAGCTTTCAGTTTTTCTGCACTTATTGAGATAATCATGTGGCTTTATTTTATTAATATGAGGCATCACATTGATTGATTTCTACATTATTGATTATTGTGTATCCATTCTTGCATCCCAGGAATAAATGCCACTTAGTCATGGTGTATGATCTTTTTATATTAATGCTATTGAATTCAGTTTGATCTTATTTTATTGAGGATTTTTGCATCTATTTCCATCAGGAATATTGACCTATAGTTTTCATTTCTTTTATTGTCTTTCTGTAGCTTTAGAAACAGAATGATGTTGGCCTCATAGGATGAGTTTGAGAGTTTTTCCTATTCTATATTTCTGGTAGGGTTTAAAAGGGTTAGTATTAGTTCTTCCTTGAATGCTTGGTAGAATTCCCATGAAGCCATCTGATCCTGGGCTTTTCTTTGTTGGAACTTTTTGATTATTGAATCAATCTCTTGGTTTATTGTTAGTGTGTTCATTTTCTATTCTTGATACAGTCTTTTTTTAAATTTTTTTTATTTTAGCATATTATGGGGGTACAAGTGTTAAGGTTATGTATATCTTGGTTGGGTTGTATACTCCTAGGAATTTATCTATTTCCATTCATCTGTCTAGGTTACCCAATCTGTTGGCTTGTTGGCATGCACCCTCATTCCTTATAATCTCACAAACTTGCGATGCCTTGTTTCTGCCAACTGGTAGACATGATTTGGGGCTGAATGAAATGTCTTCATTTTCACGACTTTGTCTTCTTTCTCTCTCACTCTGGCAGGATCACAACCACAGCTGCATGTATGATGGATCTTCGAAGATATCCTCTGGATGAGCAAAACTGCACCCTGGAGATAGAAAGTTGTGAGTTTCTTGGACAAGGGAATGAGAAAGAGGGATATGCTTGCTTGACCCAATTAAATTCAACCTTTTTGCTGAGTTAATTGGTACTAGAATATTTTTAACCGTACTCGCCTGCCAATTTTTCAAGGTGTTGATAGTCTAGTGACATTTTCCCCTGTATGGGTGATTCGAGGGTCATCTCAATGAAGTTATCTTTTTTGAACAATTAGGGGACGTCCACTTTTTTTTAGCTCCAACAATATATAAACTCATGCTTTCTCCTTCTCAGAGTGGAGTTTCACCCAAAGCTTTCCGATAGCCAAGCTGCATTAATAAGAAAGGAACAACACATTTTAACATGAAAAGACTTTGTGAGGTTGTTTTTGATTCTATCATCTGTCAACCTAAAGGATTGTAAATTGTTGTCTTTTAGAAAAACTCTGTGGCAGAGTCTAGTATGAATGATGTATCCTTCCTTATGAAAAGAAAAGAAGATAAATGGTACTCATGGGGCTCGTGCTTTGGGCCAAAGGCTTAATGTTTTCCAGGTCTAGTGACAGATTTTTGTTTGTCCTCTTGTGCTGTTGTGTTTTTCTTTTTTCTTTTTTTCATTTATAGCTTTATTAGCAATTCAAACACGTCAGACTCTATGATTTAATCTGATTGACTATCTTCGTGTCACTGGTTCTCAGCCATCAACCTACAGGCATTTGAGCCTACTAATTGGGAATACCAAAGCTAGGCTATTTCTTGGTTTCAGAGGTACAGAAAAGTGCAGTAGCTAATTCAGACCATTACTGTAGTACCACTTAATGTAATGTGAGAAATCAACAGATATTTATTTAAGTCATCTAAAATAATCTCTAGATTATTAACAAGGTAAAGGAAAATGGGAAAGGAAAATTAACAAGGTAAAGGAAAGGAAACAAGGTAAAGGAAAATGGGAAAATTCCAGGTTACCCTATGATATTATTGAAGGATAAGTGTGTTTCCTTACTGTCTGATTTTTAAGCAATTACATTAATTTTCTAGTTCTATCGTACACAGACATAGAAACAGACAAAGATGTTTATGTAGATATAGCTATAGATGTAGACATAGACACTGATCTACTTACCCCTAGAACCTGGAATGAATAAGAAAATTTATCAACTATTTTCAATTAATATTTTAATTTTAAAGCTTATTATACAAAGAAGTTGCTAAGTATTAAAAGGTGTTAATATGTAAAAGTGTCGATGGTGACTTTTGGTTCAAATACCAAAAGGAACTATGAACCCAATCATTTATTAATGGCTAATAACATTTTGTAAATAAGGCCAGCACATTAGCTTAGGAAGAAAGTAACCATTATTTTGGGGACTGACATAGAAGAAGAAGAAAGATAACTCATGGATCCCTCATACACGTGGGTTGATTTTATCCTTGACCTCTCTTCCTTTGACTCTGTAAAGTTTTTACCTTGGCTTCTGCTGGTCAGCATTAGTATATGACAACCTCTTGAATTTCCAAGCTCCGATGGCTTGCATTCATTTACTTAAAGAAAGCGATGAACTTTGACAAGAACTTTAATCGACTCTGTGTTGTAAATCATAAGTCCTGAAATAATCAGCATTTTCTCTCAAAAATTTATATTTTATTTTACAATGCATACTGAGTTTGTCCATTATTGGTTGGCATTTTTCTTTAAATCGGCAATTTTTCAAGTTCATATTAGAAAACAGATGATTGTTAGGGTCCATCCATCATATCGTATAATAACCAAAACTATAAATGAAGCAGAAACTAAATTTAACTTTTGCTGGGCAGGGATAGAGGAAGCCCAGACAGCCAGATAGTCCAAAGTAATCATAAAATATGGTGTCAGGTAATAGGTGGGGAATCCAGGTTTATGACAGTCATTGAGGCAATTCGGCAACATGCAACCAGTGGTCTACCAGGCGTCCCCAAACTACGGCCCACGGGCCACATGCGGGCCGCCTAGCACATTTATCCAGCCCTCCGGGTGTTTTTGCCACCGCTGCCTGTCCTGCTTAGCAGCCAACTCGTCCCGGGCCCACAGTGCGCACTCTCCAATGGTCTGAGGGACAGTGACCTGGCCCCCTGTTTAAAAAGTTTGAGGATTGTTATCAAGATGCTATACTAAACATACACTGTGTTAAATAAAATTACTATGCAATATTTGCATGAAAAAAAGAAGAAAAAAGTTTGGGGACCCTTGGTAGACAGATGGATGAGCATCATAAGTGGGAGTCTAAAACCAGCTAATATGTAAGAATCAATGCAGGCAGATGCTAACCATCATCAGAGGGATCCAGCAGCTGGGTAGAGAACTACCATTCCTAAAGATACTTACCTCAGGCAAAGCAGAAACTTCTGACTGCAAGAATGTGTATCACGAGGAGTTCTATGAAGGCAGGAAATTAGGGGAAAGGGAGGAAACATGGGACTGCCTTCTGTCTGCGAGACTAAAGCTAGGTATGGTATAACACCACCCTGGGGCATAAATATTTCTAACAGCAGTTGAGAGATGCTGTATCTGAGGCTCAGAGAAGCCCAATCGCTTACCCAGGGCCACGGGGACAGGACTGCGATGGAGCAGGGATTTAGATCCCCAGTGTTTGGGGACCCCTGTCCTAAATCACCCCTGACAAAGGTCAGAACGGATCCTAGAAGCTGAAGCAGAACTTGGCTTTTAGGTCAAGGATCAAGGGTCGAATAATTGCAGCTGCAGAGAGGTTAGCCTGTGGCTGAAGGAAACCAAGAGGGTCTAGATTCCACCACGGATGTTACCCTGAAGAAAATAAAACATTATTTAGCTTTCACGTGTTACTTAAAATATATCCCTTCTTAACAATGGGCAAACCAACGTAAAGAGATCTTAAAAATCTCGAAAGCAATCATTTCAAGTGGTAAGGTAACAAGCATATGCCAAGCCGGAGTTTGAATGAGCTTTGCCTGTTTCCATGATAACACCTACGTACGTAATCAATATGTTGCTAAGTATCAATAAGCATCGAATTGGTTATTCATCTATTTTTTTTTCACTTTTCATAAAGAAACGTGTTATTTTCTAAAACGGCTCTCCCTGGATTGACGGTGTATTAAGGCTCTAACCGAGCTTTAAGGTGATTACAGATGAGAAGCTCCAGTGTGGGTTGGGAAACGAGAATGACAAGGTAGACATTTGACATCCCCCTGGTGGAAGACTGAACCGATCATACTTCTGTGACCGCCAGAGCGGAAATTTTGCCTGCCTTAGGAAATGCACCATCACAATCCCAAGGCTGGGGCAACGTTTTCCTTGGTTAGGTTCCCCCTGAGACAAATTAAAGACTTTTTTTGCTTATCTTTATGTCATCCAATCAAGTAAAATTGAAAAAGCCATAAAGGCTTGTTAAATTGAAAATTTGCCTGAACTTGGAGCGGATGAATAGTTTTATAGCCCTGGGATGCTATAAAAATGGGTCAATGGCATATGGAAAAATCGATCAAGGAGTTTAGTATAAAGAGGATTTGGAATTTGAAATCAATAACGCTATCACGTGAAGGTTTGCTCGCCACAAGCTTCAGGGTAGTGTGGAAAGGGCTTGGGAAGATGATTGTAGAGGCCATTCCCTGCTTCGTAAATTAAGGAAAAGCCCTAATCTCAGCCTCCCACTGTCAGCCGATGTTGTCACCTCTCATTGCACTAAAAAAAAAAAAAAAAAAAAAAAAAAAAAAAGAAAAGGCCATTTCAGGTCTGAAATCCCTCAGTGCTCTTACCCATCTTGTTCTGAACTCCCTTATTCTTCAGCATTCTGAGTTAGCCCCACTTGCTTGGGCACGAGGTGCTGAGTGGTCCAACAATTATTTGGGTTCCTGAATTATGGAGGACCGACAAGTCCCAAATATCTACAGGGTGAGTTTAGTGAGGCTAGAAGCCATTGGTGGAAGTTCGTATGCCTAATTAAAGTCTGAGGACCAGGAGAAGTGATGGTGTGATTCCAGTCTGAGGACAACAGCATGAGCGGTTTTTGGATGGTGAACATTTTAGCATCAGGTTAGGAGCACGAAAAGATCGGATGCTGTCCTAGTGTGATAGGAACGAAAACCGACTTCCCTGAGAAGAGGAACAATCACTTCTGCACTACTTGAACTGGTACGCTAGTCAAATTAAACATCAGCACTAGGTCCTGGTCCTGTGTCCTTCAGCACTGGAATTACACCATCAGTGTCCTCCTGGTCCACTGGAACTTTGGATTGGGACTGTGACAACACCATGGCGTCTCTAGCTCACTAACTCACCCTTAAGATTTTGGGACTTGTCAGCCTCCATAATTGCATGGACCAATTTTATAGTAAGCAATCTCTCTCTCTCCCTCTCTCTGTCTCTCTGCTCTTGTCATTTCTGTCTCTCTTCATTTTACGTGCTCTATTCTTGAAGAGGCTCTAATACACTGGGCACAGGGGCATAAGGCTTTATCTGACTTGTGATAGCATTAAAACATTCAGATGGTTGTTATGGACACCTAAATTTTCTTCCCAGGATATCTGGTGTCCTCCTTCTGCATGAAAGTTATCTATAATATGGTATCAGAACGGACAAAATTTTCCGCATGTCGCTGCCAAGGGTAGACTTATAGAATGATCTCAGTCTTACATCGGGACACTACACTTATTTTGATCTTTTTTTCCAGGTGTAGCACATTAATAAATATAAATTTAGCATCTTAAATTCTGCAACCTCACATTTAGCGTCAGGGTTTGCATAGCTTGATTAGGCATTTTACAGGTAGATACATTTTTCTTATCACATGCTATTTTTGCGGGACAAGAAAAGGGATTACATTTTGGGAATAATAGAACATGACTATTGCTTCGTTCTGTGTCACTGTTACTACTAACTCAAGACACATTAAAGGAATGACAGTACTCTTGAGATTAGACAGATAGATTGAGTGGATAGGTCATAAGTTGAATACAGAAGCAATGTCTAGGTTAAAAGCTGCAAAGGCATTTTTTTAAACGAGAAACCATTA